ATAAAGACAGGCCAGCACTATGAAAGAGAGGACCAGTTATGGCTTCCAGATGGCTGGAATGGAATCATGAGGCTTGGATGGACTGTGTAGACTTCAGTCAGAGCCTCTGAAGCTGTCCTGGGTGGTGACATTCAGAGGACAGTGAGGGGACTTGAGGTGTAATTCAGCGGTGGAACACATGGCTTGGGTCCGGTCCTCATCACTGCAAAAAATAAAATGGCTGCAGAAGCCAGTGATGCTTGGCGACCTGGTCAAAAGCCAGGGAGCTGGAAACGGAAACCCAGGGTCCGTCAGTGTCATCAGAATGGCAAGGGGTGAGGCTGGGTCCTGTATGTCCAGGTCTCAAGGGCAACCCTACTTCTGGGCCTCACTGAGAGGCACTTGCCATGTCCATCAAAACCAAGTGCAAGATAAAACAGCCTTGAAGACACTGAGGAGAGGCACGGCCCTTGAAGGCTCCCTGAAGAGAACAGATGCTCTCCCGCAGTTGGGTGCTCAGGAGGGACAACGGTCCCTGTCCCTTTCTCCCTTTGGCATACAGGGCATACAGGAAAGGCTACCAAACACTCAGTCTAGATATCTGGGGCTGAGCAGACTCATGCACCGTGTGTCCCAGGGGCAGAAGTTCTAATCAGTACATTGGCCATCTTCCATCTTGAAGTTTTCCAGACAAGTCCTAGGTAGTAGTCTGACTGCTGTCCTTGCCCATACACACCACAGTTTGGGATGCTTATGACCAGCGTCCATTTATATAGTTTCTTATGATTTTTTTCATGGCATCCAGCCCTGTGCCAGCTTGCTTAGGACCAGAGGAAATGTGTCTGTCCTGGGCAGGGATGTCAAGAGCTCTCTTCTTCACAGCTCCCACAGGGTATGTTCTGTATTCTTTCCAGTCTGACCTGGAATGCCTCTGAGACTGAACAGGAAGTGCTGTCCTGCTCAGGCCCGTCCCATAAGGGTGCTGTCATGCATGAAACAGATACAGAGCAAGAAGACAGACAGGCCTGTGGCCACTCACCAGGGCAAGGGCTGCAAGGCTCCACACACGGCCCTGGCACCAGCAGCTCCCTGGGCCCCCTGGAGCTGTATGTAGCACCAGACAGGCGATGTCTGAGGTTCCTATTATGTAATCTCTGCCTGCCTCTGGGGAATATATGCCCCATGCTTGTTCCTTGTGGGGAAAGTAAGCAGATGTAAATGAGATGATCTATAGCTTATCTGGGCCCTTCATGATTTTGTGTGCCTTGCATCTGTCCTTAGGGGGCCTCACAATTCAGTACACCTATTGTTGGTCCTCCTTTGCAGTACATTTGGCTTGACCAAAAGCATATCGCTCTTTTTTGGGGGGACAGGATCTCACTAAATAGACTGTTTCAGCCTCCCCAGTGCTCAGGTTACATCTACTATGACCAGCCAGCATGTTGGGGGCTGATAGGTAGCTGATAGGGGGCTATGGCCCTCTGTGCTAGCATTCCTCTGGGATTCCAGACTTTTCCTTAACACTCTTGCTACCCCCACGTTGTTTTTGCTCACCAGCTACATCTCCATTGCAGCTGGGTCTCCTGAACACGAGAGGTGTGAGTGAGGGCACTGTGGCCCCCAGAGAGTGGCCATATGGCTGTTTTCATTTCTATAACCATGGCTTTTTGTGGACACACATCACTTGCTCTTCCCCAGAACCTCCATGTCTGGTGCTTGTCACAGCTGGCACACTCACGTGGACCTGAAGGCCTTCCACCTGTGCAGCTGCGCCTCAGCTGCGCCTCGATGGTCCTCAGCTGTACCTCACTGTTGCTCGGCCGCACCTCAGCTATTCCTCGACTGTGCCTCAGCTGTACTGCTTCTCTCCCAGCTGCCTTTCCTGACTTCTGTTTGGTTCTTTCTAAACAGGTACTCCCCTGGCTTCCACCCTTCTCCTGCTACTTCCTGGGAGACGATACCCCACCCTCCCACAAGCACCCTCATCCCCAACCTCTGTGCTCAAATCCAAGCACCTCCAAGCTAAAGCATGTTGGCCCCTTGAAGGCCACATTCCCCACAAAGTGTTGCAACTCAGAACGTTCGCTCAAGGGCATCTCTTCCCTCACAAGCCTCCTGGCCTCCAACCCTCCTCAACAGCCTCCAGGCCACCCTCTTGTTTCCACAGCAGCCCCTACCCTCCTCTTTGCCCTTCAGTCTATACGGGGCAGAGTGGAATATTCTGTTTCTTTGCTTGGCATCTGTCCTGTTTGTTCATTATTGCCAGCTCCCCAGGATTAAGCTCTGCCAGGAGTTTGAGCTGGTCTGCACATCCTAAAACATACAACTTGATAGCTTTGCATATTCATACGCCCATGTAATCCCTTCCTGGAGCCAGATATAGACATCTCTAGGGCTCCTATACCATGTGGGAGCAGCAGCAGAGATACAGGGTCAGAGAAAGAGCAGCATGTGCCAACAAGGGGCAGAGGTCACGGAGACTTAGAGAGGATCTCCTGGAAGATGATGTGATCTGGACCTCAAAAAACAGTCCTAGTCTTTGGCTGTGTTGATTTTAACTGTGAAAAAAAAATGAGAAAAACCTAACATTCAGTGGGAGACTGGATCAGCACACCATGCAGTAGTCTCAAATGCACTAATAATGGCCCCACACTGCATGAATCTCAAGGACATAATGTTGGATGAAAAACGCAGACTGAAGAGTGATATGCACAGTGGGTACAGATTCTGAAGACACACAGAACAATGCTATGCTTTGAAATGAATGTGGATGTTTGTGGTAAGAGTATCAACAAATACCTGGGAGTGATAAATGCCGGCATCACCTCTGGGGAGGTGGAGGAGGAAGCGGGACACTGAGTTCAGCTGTGATCTATTCTGTGCAAGCAGTAAGAGGAAGGATAGAAGGTAGATACGGCAAGCTCAGCACATGTTCAGTGTGGGTGATCATAGGTCCATGGGTGCTTATTATATTATTATAATATTATTAGAGTAGTCTCTCCTCATTTGCATACTATTCTGTAACAAAAAAGTTTAAAAGAAGTAAAGGAAAATGTGAAAAGGGAGGTGGCATTTTCTACCCAGGCTGAGCATTCCCTCTGGGGACTGGTGTGAGGAAGACATACACAGGTGCCTCTGAACAGGTTCCATAAGGCAAGGCCAGAGCAAGGCCATGGGGCTGGGCCTTGGAGAGGGTATGTGTGTGTGTGTGTGTGTGTGTGTGTGTGTGTGTGTGTGTGTGTGTGTGTGTATGGACAGACACATAACATCTTTATCCTGGCTATCAGTCCTTTCCTGCAACTTAGTTGCTTTCACATTCCCCAACCAACCCCAAAGGAGACTTTGGCTGGATGATTTTCCAGTGGGGGATTTATTCTTTCTCCTGATCTGGGGGAAGCAGGGTGGTCACTGTACGACATTCGCATATGCCTCAATCACATTCATGCACAGCAATTCCTTGGCTCTCACAACACTTGTCAAGGTCAGAATTATTACTGTCATCCCCATCCTCACTTTAAGAGGAAGAAACAGAGGTCTGAGGCTACATAGTGATCAAGAGGCAGGGTTGGGATTTGAACTCAAGCTGTCTGGCACCAGAGTCTGTGTCCTCAATGAAGAGTGATAATGCTCCTCAAATGCCAGGCACCATTCGGGGTGCTATGGGATGCTATGCACCATCAGGGATGATGCAGTGGAAAGGAAAAGCCAGAGAGCCAGTGAGGGGGTGAAACACTCATGGGGGGATTTAAGCAGAAACCCACAGGCTGGGAGTTAGCTAAGAGGTTTAGGGGGTGTGCCCTCCAGACACAGGGAAGATCAAGTGAGAAGACCAGAGATAGGTAGGTACAGGTAAGGAACTTACTCACAGAGGGTGAGGGCCAGGGCGGAGGAGGGAAGCAATTCCCTGAATAGAACCTTTCAGATGGGAACAGCCTCTGTTGGGGACTCCTGCAGTTCATGCCTGTGGCCCTACTGTAAATACTAACAGTGACCTGTTTCAGTTGGACAATAATACACCTGAAGGCTACCCTCTGTAGGCTACAGAAGACAGTTTTGTTCCCAAGAAGTATGAAATCACCAAGGGACTTGCAGGAGAGTGACACAACTGAATTATGATATATAAAAGTCACCGTGGCTGCTGTGTGTGGGAGACTTGCAGAGGGTCGGGAGGGAGGCCATTGTTTCTTCCCTGAGTGAGTCTCACAAGTGCAAGCAGCCAAGGGAAAGGCTGGAGAGGCTCTGCTTGAAGCTGCAGCAGCTGCAGCAGTGAGCAAAGTGACCAGAGCCAAGAGCCTTAGAAACGTTGCCCCTTTCTCCTCTCTGTGCTGGTCAGCCCCTTGGGCCCTGCTCCAGGGCTTTTAGCCTCAAGGGGTGGGAGGAATCCCCTGAGAACAGTTGCCCTTCCCCCAGGATTGCAGGGCCCTTGTAAGGGAACTAGTTCACTCTGTAAATACTATCAACAATAGTAACTGTCCACTTGACAGTTTACTAATCCTGTCCTTCCCATCCCCACAGATCCCCTCCTCCAACCCCTTCAAGAGGAGATTTCAGCAGGGAAAGCCCACAGGGTTCTCACAGATACCAGTGGGGCCACTGAATGAACGCTGATTGGAGAAAGCAAGGCCTCTGGTGTCTGCTGAGACACAAGGTGACTGGCCTGGGGCTGCCGCCGGTGAATGAATGAGTGCATGTGGCCTCGCCCACTATGTATCTGTTTCCAGAGATGAGTATATGTGGGGGTCACATACACTACTGCTGGCCACAAATTACAGGGACATGTTTGCCCAGATTGCCAAGGAACTAAAGCAAGACCAAGGTTTGTAATGGCTGCAAAGGGTAAGAAAAAGAATGAGAAACTTGTAAAGGGAAACTCAGGAGTACCAAGAGCCCCTTGCTCTCCCTCTACAATTATCGACCAGGACGGTCATAAACGTCCACAGACAGGTTGTGGGTCATCTAAGCCTTCCAGGGAGGGACTTGCCAGAAGGGAAGGAAGGGTCTAATGCGAGGGGATCACTCACCCAGTGGCAAGACGAAGAAGAAGGGAAACCAGCACAGGACGAAGACACCCACGACGATGGCCAGCGTCTTGGCGGCCTTCTTCTCCCGGGAAAACTTGAGCAACCTTACCGAGAGCGAGCTGCGCAAGGTGTGGCCCTTAGTACTCTGCGTCCCATGGGTTCCTTTGGCGCTGGTGCCTGCGCCTCGACAGTGGATCCTCAGCACCACCTCGGAGGAGGCCTTGCCGGGCTCCCGCTTGATGCCTGCCTCGAGGCTGCGCGTGGTGCTGCGCGCGACCACGTACACGCGGCAGTACATGACCACGATCACCGCCATGGGCAGGTAGAAGGAGCACACGGAAGAGAAGACAGCATAGCCCACTTCCTCGGTGATGCCGCAGAAACGCTCATCCGGGGGCACTGGCTCCTTCCAGCCCAGCAGCGGTCCCACGGACACCACCAGGGCCACCGCCCAGAGCAGAGCCAGGATGGCAGCGGCCTTGCGCTCTGTCATGATGGCTGGGTACTTGAGCGAGTGGCGCACGCCCACGTACCGGTCCACAGAGATGGTGCAGAGGCTAAGGATGGAGGCGGTACAGCACAGCACGTCCACCGCGGCCCAGACGTCGCAGAAGGTCCGACCGAAGGCCCAGAAGCCGAGAATCTCCATAGTGGCTGAGAAGGGCAGCACGGCTGCACTCAGCAGTAGGTCAGCCACCGCCAGGTTCACGATGAAATAATTGGTGACCGTCTGCAGGTGGCGGTTGCAGGCCACCGAGAGGATGACGAGCAGGTTGCCCGCCACAGCGGTGAGGATGAAGGCTGCTAGGAAGACCCCCACTCCTATGCCCTGAGCACTCACCACCAGCCCCCCGACGGCTGCTGAGCCATTCACCTCGCCGCCGGCCGCAGCCCCCGGTTCTCCCGTGGAGGTCTGATTGTCCTCGCCGCTGCCGGTCCCCACCACAGCGCCGCCGCCAGTGGTCCCTGGCACACCACCCACCGCCGGGCCCTCGGGTCCAGCCGTGCCAGCTCCACCGCCCGCGCCGGAGCCCCCAGTGCTACTGTTCGAGCGGGGTCCTTCGAAAGTGACGCTCAGGAGGTCGCGGAAAGTCATCTCACGGCGCAGCCGTCGGGGCCCGAGCCCCGGCACAGGGCGAGCAAGTGGCGAGGAGGGGGCCCGCGGGCATCGCCGCAGCGCTGGAGCCCAGCTCCGCGCGCGGGTCCCGTCGGTCCTGCCCAAGTTCCCGCCGCGGAGGGGGCCTCCGGGGAGCGGTGGAGCAGGGGGAGCGGAGGGGAAGCCACGGGGCCGTGAAGGTCCCAGCGGGAACGGCGGCTAGCGGTGGCCGCGGAGTCGCAGGGAGGGAAGGGTCGGGGCGGTCGCCCTGCGCCCTTCTCCAAGCGTGTCCAGGGCGAGCGGCGGCTCCGGGAGCGGCAGTGCAGGCGGCGGCCTCTGCAGCGCTTGGGACTCTGCGCGGGGGCGGGACGGAGGAGGGGCGGCCGGGAGGGAGGAGGGGGGCGGCCGGTGCGAGCGAGGGCTGAAGCCGGAGAAGGGGCTCTTCGTGGCCAGCGGCTGCAGGGGGAGTCCCCGCCGGCGCCCACGACCGCCCTCTGCCCTGGCTGTCCGCTTGTCCTCCTTTCCTCCGCTCTCCCGGACCCCAATCCTCTCTGCCCCAGCTGCGTCTCGCTGCCTCCCTTCCTCTCTTTAGACTCGCGGTCACTCTCTGCTTGCCCTTGCCCTAGCGGAGCATACAAGGTGCGATCCCCGGGGCTCTGGCTCCGGGTTCCTGCCGCCAGAGAGCAGCAAGAGCCTGGGATCTGTAGGTTCAGGGCTGGATGGTTAAACGATGCTAGAGCGCCTGGATGTGTCTGATGCCCCTCCTCTTTTCTCTGGGGCGACTGGCCAGCCCAAGATCTCACACCCGCTATGGTGGGATAGTGGCATTGAGACAGCCCTGAAGGATGCTTGTGCTTGGGCTGAATGGGCGTGACTGGCGTGGGGCTATAGCCCCAGGACCTTGGCCACACTCTGAATAATACCAACTTTGGCCCTGTTATTTTCCTCTGCATCAGAGGTAAGAATAAATCTGACTGTAGCTACTCGAAGGACTCGGATCTCCCTCCGGGCAGAGAAGGTCAAGTGCTGGAGGGTGGGAAAGGTTACCATAGGGTGATTAAGGGGGAGGGAGCAGAGTAGTCTGCCTCCACTCTCCAGGCTCCGCCCTTATTGGCCATTGGACCTCCTTGAGCCTCCTTTCCTCCAGCGTGAAATGAGAGTAAAAATCACTTAGGGGAACCTGTGTTAGGGCTGCGTAAACAGTGCCCGCACTTTTCAGATGAGTGGAGAACAGCAGAGCAATATCTGAACGTGGAGAACCAGAGGGCAGAGGGGATGTGGCACTGCTAGGAAGCAGGGATACAAGGGAAAGAGGTGGGAGAAGAGGAGGAGCCTCCCATCATAAGACCAGTAGGGACAGACACAAGATCGTTTGGTGGGAATGTGGGGGCGGTACCTGTGCATGTGCACATATGCACTCTTGCACGTGTGGTTTTTGAAGGGCTGAAGATCAGTTCGAGACCTTGCACATGCTAGGCAACCACTTTACCACTGAGCTGCATCCTTGGCCGAGCATGTGAATGCTCCCTGCAGGAAGTCTCTAAAGACGGTCAGACTGGGACAATCAGAACTCTACTTGGGATGTGTCTGCAGACTGGGACAATCAGAACTCTACTTGGGATGTGTCTGCAGTTTGACTTCCTTGACCAGTGGGTTTGGTGCGGGAATGCTTTAGCCATTTCGAGAGAACAAGTCCCTCTGGACAGTGTCTAGTCACGTGAAAGACTAAAACACAAATTCCATGTGAGGGCCATTTTAGGTACAAAAACCTCTGATGTTTGCTTGTAGCAAAGGTAAACCTCAGGGCCCATGTGGCCCAATCTCAGGGAAGCACCCTCTTTAAAAAGCACTACCTTTAAAGCAACAACAACAACAACACCACTGGCTGCTTTTCCAGTGGTCCTGAGTTCAATTTCCAGCAACCTCATAGTGGCTCAGAACCGTCTATAATGGGATCTGATACCCTCTTCTGTTGTGTAGACCTATAGGAGGACAGATCACTCATATACATAAACAATCTTAAACAAGCACCTCATCATGCTTCCTGAAATCACCTCCCAAACTAACTACTTGGAGTCCCACATTATCACCACTACAATAAGAGAGAAGAGACAAAGAGTTCAGCGCCACAGGACCAAGTGTGCTAGGGACTTAACCCAAAGCAGAATGATCATATTTAGAGAGGCTAACTCTTTAGACCTGCAGGAGGCATTGTCGTGGTGGAAGTGAAGACTGGAGTGAGAAATGATCAGGGCCTGATCTCAGGTAAAAATTATGTAGAGAAAGGGGTAGATTCACAAACTCAAGTAAGCAAAAACATCTGTAGAGCTGGCTGGATTTGTAGTAGGGAGTAAACTTTATGTTTCTAGTTATAGGAGCTGCGTGGATGATGTTTCTGTATAAGGAACCCAGCAAGTTGAAGATTTTAGGGTTAGGGATGGTGAGTTTAGAACTCTTAATTTGAGGTGCCCACGAGTAATCCAAAGATGTGGGTGTGGGTGGCATGACTGGGGTGGTGTTGAGCTTCATTGCCAGCCCCTTCACTGTTGTGACCTTTCAGAAAGAGAGATAGGTCCTCTCTCTGCTCCTGCCGACCCCTTCCTGGATTTGCGAATCAGGTGAGCCAGTACAGGAAATTGACAATGCTTGCCCTTCTGGTTCCTTCCCGCCCTAGAACCTCTGGAATTCTTTTGCAGACCATTTGCTGACCAAGGCTGAAGCTCTTCACTGCTTACCAGACAAAGGGCAGGCTCTGTCTTAGGGTTTCTATTGCTGTGAAGAGACACTATGACTATGGCAACTCTTATAAAACATTTAATTAGGGCTGGCTTACAGTTTCAGAGGTTTAGTCCAATATCTTCATTGCAGCATGCTGGCAGACATGGTGCTGGAAAAGGAGCTGAGAGTTCTACATCCTGACCCACAGAAGCAGAAGCAACTGTGTGCCACACTGGGACTAGCTTGAGCATAGGAGACCTCAAAGCCACCCTACAGTGACACACTTCCTTTAACAAGGCCACACCCACTCCAACAAAGCCACACCTCCTAATAGTCCACTTCCTCTGGGGGCCATTTTCTTTCAAACCACCACAGGCTCTTATTTCCCTGCTGTGACTGGAGCCATTCTTATCCTTCACCTAAGAGTGGCTTCTGCTCCTTGCAGTCTCACCTTCCTGTCACCCCTGGTGCTCAAAGTGATTTCTGCTCTTCCAGAGAACCCAGGTTCAGTTCCCAGCACCCACACCAAGTGGCACATGAGCACCTATAATTCCACTTCCAGGAATCTGATGTCATCACACACATGCACACACATGGTGCGCATGAACTCATGCAGGCACATAGACGGCGTGCATGCCCTAATGCAGGCACAAATGTTTTAACAACCCGTTGGTTTTCATTCTCCATCATTGCTTTCTTACCTTGTCTTGGCTTGTGGGAGCGAAGCCACAGAAATGCTGGAGGATTTTCTGAAGGTGTCCTGTGTATGACCTTAGCACTTTGTTCCTTGTTGTAGATGGAAGATTAAGAATGGGCAGGAGCAATGATAGCCTCAGTTGTGGTGTGATGTGAATTTTTCTCTTCTGCCATCCTGCCGACCATTCATCAAACTCTACCCGTTAGAGCTGAGCCCTTGGCAGGCAGTGTGACTTAGACGTGTACAGGCTCCCTAAGGCAGTAATTCTGATACAAACTTCTACCCGGGAAGTAAATACTGGTACTTTCTTACCATATCATCTTCAGTAATTCTCTGGGACCAAGAGCCTTCCTTATAGCAGAGGGCAAATGGAATTGAACCAGAGCAGAGTAAAGCAATGGAATTCTGGCTTCAAGGCAAGCCTTTCCAGAAGATCAGTATAAATAAGTTCACTATGGATGAGTGTTGGATGATTCAGGGGTAAAATCCTAAGTCTGGGATCCTCCTTGCAAGCCACCCTACTGGTTCTCAAATCACTGTGATCTCCAGGAGCCTCTCGGGCAAAGTGCTGGTTCTGTGACCCCTGGAGAACCTGCTTTGTGATTCAGCAGAATGGTGCCTACTTTAAGATGGAAGAGTAAGTGTATGTAATGTCAGAAACACAGGCATGTTTGTGTCTTTCTACATGTCAGGACTTGTAAACTAGTAAAATCACAAGCTATGTTAGCTTGATTGATTGTGATTTGCTAAACAATGCTAATTTTGCTTGATAACTGGCCATTACAAATCAATGGTTCTCTCTCTCTCTCTCTCTCTCTCTCTCTCTCTCTCTCTCTCTCTCTCTCTGCATAAGGAGGCCAGAGGTTAACATTGGAGAGTCTTTATTAATAGCTTCTTAATTTTATTTATTTTTAAAATTTTATTTTTTTAAATTTATTTTTATGTATATGGGTGTTTTGTTATGCATTGTACCCATAGAAGCCAGAAGAGGGCCTTGGGTCCCCTGGAACTGGAGTTAATGATTGTGGGCCACCATGTGGGTGCTGGAAATCAAACCAGGTCCTCTGAAGAGCAGCCACTGCTCTTAACAGCAGTCCATCTGTCCAGCCTCCACTTTATGTTTTGAGACAGGGTCTCTCCCTGAACCTGGAGCCTGCTGATTGTCTAGACTAGCTGGCAAGCTCTAAAAGCCACCTGTCTCTGCTGCTCCATGTCTAGGGTTTCAGGACACACTACCATGCCTGTGGTGGCTCTAGAGATCCCGACTCAGGTCCTCGTGTTAGCACAGCAGTAAAAAGTACTTTACCCACCAAACTATTTTGCCAGCTCCCAGTAACTGGCTCTTTTAGTTCAATCTTAATTATTAAGTCTCAGATCACATTTTGCATTTTGGATAATCATCCACAGAATGTCTATGAAAGGGTTAAAGAGGCCTCTGTCCTGAAGTTGGACGCAGTGAGCCGATACAGCTCTAAGGAAAGGTCTGCAGGGACTAAGAAGAGAAGCATTACAAGTGCAGACACAGAGGTGTACAATTCAGGTCCATTTCAGGCCATTTGAGGTTTGGTTTGCTGGCTGAATGTCTTTGGCAGGAGGAATTTCTCTGGAGCTGGAGCCCAAGGCAGGAGCCCTGCATTGTACAGTTTTCTTGGATGAGGCTTGTGCTGAGTGACAGGGTGACTAATCAATGTTCTTGCTTCATTTCCGTCTTACGGTGTGCCTTCTCTTACAGTCCCAGGTAAGGGAATTACATCTGGTGTGATCTCTAAGCTTGCATGCCTGGGGTTTCTGATATGGTTTGATACATCTTCAGGTATCATTATTTATTAGCATCAACAAATTGTCAGCTTGTGCCTCCCAGTATGTTGGCAGGTGGCTGTTGCTTCCCTATGTAAACAAGACCTGGAGTCATTTCTAGTCATGGACATCAAAATGA